GAGTTCACTGGCGTCGTGGATGCAGGTGTTGGAGCAGTTGCTGTCGTCGCAGGAGTGAACACAGGCGGAAGATCTGGAGATCTGAGAGCTTGGGCAGGCGAAGGCATCAGTGGTGGCGTGGTCGCTGCTGGTGGAGGCGATACGTCGGTCACCGGGTTGTCAGCAAAGCGTGCTCTGTAATTTCAACTAAGAGCGAAACTGCGACAAGATGCTTTAAGATAACAATACAGGACATCTATAGTAGAACTTTGAAAAGGATTACAAGCACACAACTAGAACGATTTCATTAGAAGCTGTGCCTTGCCCTTGTAAAAGCATCAAAACATGGGAATCACAAAAAATCTTCAAAAAACTTACTTTCTGATATCTTGAGGCCTTCCCAAGCCACGCTGAGCATCATCACGCTGTAAAAATCAACAATACTTGTGGAAATTATAAACAAAGATCTCTGAACACATTAATAAATATGAAAAAGTAGAAGACAATGTTCTCGCCATAACTGAGAAAGAGATATCTCAATTCTAAATATATAAGGTTGCAAAATGACCAGCATGTAATGTTCAAAATGACTATAGTTCCGCTGGTTCATAAAACTACTTTACTTCATGAACTTAACTTACCACTTCAGATGGTGAGTTATGAGTTCTTGCGGGAAGCGGAGGAGGTTTCGGCGAACCTGGAGCGCATGATGATAGTAGGCTAAGTAGCATGTTTTATCATTAAAAATACTTACTGAATGGCGCGATTGGTGATGTATGTGCTTGTGCTGGCGGTAATGGAGTGCCATTTCGTGATAGCGATGGCGATACTTGCCCAATCTAACATTTTTGTTTAGTCAAAAGCGTAAGTCGGATAATTAAACACAATTACCGGGCCAGTGCGTCCATATTCGCTAAAGGAAGCTCGAGATGCACGACTCACGGCCGGACTGAATTCTGCTGCGGGAGACCTAAAGAGAGGTTTGGCACCATATGCATGAGTTTCCATGAGAGGTACTACCTTTGTGTTCCATCTACACTAGTCGCCTGCATCCTTCGTGGCGCCGGCGACGTCATGGGAGATTTTGAGGGTGTGGAGGCAGACGGTGAAACATCATGGAGTCGTGGCATAAAGCCAGTACGAGGTGGAGGAATGGAGCTAGGACTAGGTCGCTGAGGAGCTGAAGTCAAGCAGTTAAATGTTATAGAGCTTGATACTAATGAAACAATCCCCTATACCTCCATCACTAACTCGTCTTGTATTGATGCTTAGCGGCGAGATCACTGGAGGTCGGGGATGCTCTTAAAGTTTGCATTTAATGGAAAACACTTTGGTTTTCCTTAAGCTAGAAGCCATATATGAAAATATTTAAATACCTGGTTTTTTATCTTTTTCCGTGCTATTTGCATTACTACTGGCACCATCTTCGTCATGGTGTTTCGGTTCTAACTTGTAGATCTTTTTATCTTTCGGAGGTGTAATATTCTATTAAAGGAAATTTGTTACTGAGCGCCTTTCATCGATATGAAAAGTATATCATCTAAAATCAGTAATCCTACCAGTTTCGATTTTCTGTAGGCACTTTGCAGTTGACCTGTTCCTAACTTCATGATTTCTGCCATCGGATCATAGTTGTAGGCGTTTGGTACAACAGGGCCGTCCTCAAAACATTTTTAAATACCTCTGTACAATGATCTTATCTAGGCAATAAATGTGTTCTTTTAGAACCAAGTAAGTTCCAACGAAGGCAAAATGTGAAACGACTAGTTATCTAGTACTAGGACACAAAGTACAGTGAGGGATAAACATCTAGCACACAGTATGTAAAGAGAGCTGACCACGAATAACACAAATATGGACGATTATGGAGATGGCAAAACGTGGATGGAAGTACCTGAATTGCAGCCATGGGTAAACCTCCCACAAACATTGGCTTATCTTTCTTTGGATCATGTTTCTTCTTCGAGCTTTTTGGCGCTCCTGAAACTAATTTTTGAAAAGATTGTGAATTTGCAACAAGATCTGATTATCACTTTCCAATTTACCTCCCAAAGCGTCCTCAAAGGACAACGAGGATCTTCGTTTTGGAGTCTTCTTCTCTTTGGGCTCCTTGTGTTTCTTTTCAGGCTTTTCCTTTTTCTTTTTCTCTTTGCTGGACTTCCTCTTCGGCTAAATCGATTAAGCTTGGATTCAAAAAAGGCGGAAGTAAAATACAGATAATTTGGATTAATCACATTATAATAAAAAAAGGTGAAACTTATCACTAAGGTATGAAGGCTAACGATTTGAAAATTTATGCTTGGTACACACCTTTTCTACGTAGTCATCGTCATCATCGTCATCGGGTTCGTTCTGGGCGTCCCCTTCAACATAGTCCTCATCTATTTCTCGCTTTCGTGAGGAAGTTGATGGTTTTGAAGTGGTCTGTACAAAAGTTTCGTTAGATTCATACGCTGCATATTCTACAACGTAGTACCTGTAGATGTTACCAACATTTCATCGCGTATATGTGAACTTTGTGAACGATTGAATAAGGAAGGTGAGAGAAAAGGCAAAAATATTCACTACCTCATCCTCATGACTTTCATCACTTTCTTTCTTCACTTGTGGCTCATCTGAAGTGTTTTCTTCCTTAATAGTACC